GGAAGTTTAGGAGTTACACTTTGATTATTATTCTTCAGAACTGGTCGTGGATTTTTTCCATTAATAGTTGTACTTTTCCAGAAACCATTCGAGTCATTTTGAATCTTAATATTTTGCCTTATTTCTGGAAACGTAAGGCTCCTTGATCTGGATGATTTATCTTCATTGACGGTCGAAAAGCTTTGCCTGCGATAGCCATTTGAGGGCCTATTAGGATAATAAGAATAATTGTCTTCGAGATCCGTTGAAAATGTCACGTGATGATTTTGTTGGTGATTCACCGGCTTATTTACAGCTGTGTCGTTTAAAGCAATCTTGTCATCCTCGATTCTCGTTCCATTTGGAGTTTGCATATCTTTATCTAAGCTATTTGAACCTCTTGGAATTATCTTGTCATTTGAGACCTTTTGATCAATAGAATCGAAAAAAGGTTCATTTGTCGAGGGCACCTTCGGTTCATTATTGATTTCAGAAGACACTTTCTTTTGCTCAACTTTCTCATGTGAATTTGAACGTCGATGACCATATGTTGGAGTTGTAGAGGTTGAACGTGGAGGATAATTCTCTTCCTCTTGTTGATTTTGCCGATTATTAGTCTGGGATTTTTGTACATTACTAGATGCGCCACTTCTATTATATCCCGAGTTTTGCTGCGAATGGTTTTGTGGAGGTCCATTCATATAATTTCGACGTTCATAACAGCCATTTTTGCCACCATAATTATATTCTTTAGATTTTCCACCGTTAGTGAAGGTATTTGACCGTTCTCGTTTTCCATTTGACCAATTATTAGCATTAGATTGAAAAGAATTCGGCCCATTTGGTGAAATATTCTGTATGCTTGGGCTGACGGGCGGATTATGTCCACTAGTGAATGTATGTGATCGTTCACGTTCTTTATACGACTTGCTACCTTGACGAGATGGTGTAACAGGTGAAGTAGATATTGGAGGATATCGACAATCTTGCTTTTGCACATTACTGAATTGACTAAAAGTGCTGGCACGCTCACGACCTCGGAAATTTTCACGACTTGAAAATCTGGCATCTTGAGGAGAGTACCTACCGTCTTGAAGAGAGAAGCGAGCGTCTTGAGGGGAAAATCTAACATTTTGAGGCGAACTACCATTCGTCGTATTACTAATTTCTTCTCGAGGCTGACTGACTGAATTATGCGTATTATCCTTAAACGAATAACAACGAGGGGGGGAGGAGGAGTTGTTATTAAGAGTTCCTTTTCTACCTTGAATTGTAGTTGCTGTTGGTTGTGTATCTTGCATATGTGCCATGGTCCTCTTGATTGTCGATGACGGTTGAGGGACAGTGTTATAATGAGCTTGCTCGCGAAGGTTAGGAACACTACGCTTGAGGAACTTCGTTGCCAGGGTGTTTGTGTTCCGAATGTTGGGTATGCTTCGTCTTGGTCCTAATGGTATATTTTCATCGATGCCCGAATAATGTTGCATATGCTCAAATTTATAATTGGGAGATGTCACCCCACGAGAAGTATTCATTGCCGAATTACGTGTTGGTGGAATAGATATGGATAACGGAGAAGGAATCGATGGACGCCTACTTTGTAAATCCCGCCATTCGCGACTTTGTTTTGTGTTTAATGACCGAGTACGAATTACATCTTGGTTGTAATGTTCATCATTATAACGAGGATGGCAATTTCTTGTTGGATAACTATCTTCCAACCAAGGAACCTTTACATTTCCATCACACACTGCCTTTACCGCACTGTCGTCGTTATGATTAATCCATTCATCAGAATGGTAGCCCCCATCAAAATCCCGAAACGCGTTGTCACTCCAAAAGCTCAATTCATTTGCAGGAGTCAAAGGAGCTGGGGACATTGGGCGAGCCAATGAATAATCTTCGAATTCAAGAGTTACTAGTTCAGAATCGTATCCGTTCCGGCAAGTTGCACTGAAATTTAGTTGAATCGAAATTATTAGGGAGGAAAAAAAATTTGATATATGATATGTAAGATTAGTTAAATACATACACAAGTAAATTACGTGCAAATGCGTAATCCGGTTTCTGATCAAAGTCCAGACTTCGTGCATATTGAAGAAATTTCATGAATCCTGATGGAACACCCTCAAATAACTCTTCCAAAGGTTTGCTCTCTTTCATCTTTAACATCTTGGACCAGCCTTCTACCGCATTGCGGGCTGTTACACCCGCCCAAGGAAGTGTTCCTTGAAGCAATTCCAGAATAACATATCCAAGTGATTCCAAGTCGTCGCGACGCGCATGTGCTATTATCAACCAAAAAAAAAAAAAAATAAGAATTGATATAATTGATTGAATTCCACAATCAAATTCTCAAAACACTTACGAAGCCCACGATGAACACCCATTGCGGCATAACGAGCAGTCCCCGTCTTATATTTTGTCGGGGGATGCTTCTTTGGAACGTGCCTCCCTGTCCTCTGGTCGATATAGAACGTGGATAAACCTAAAAAAAAAAAATGAAATAAAATAAAAAAATTAGAATGAAATTAGAAAGAGAGTAGTTTATTGCATTGCTAAAGACTATACATACCAAAATCAACAAGGCTTATCTTGTGTGGACTATGAAGAAGGGGATGTTTGTCATCAATTAGCTTGGGCGAATCCTTTTCAGAGTTCCATTTCTCGAGCTCCTTTATTGAAATTGCGAAATCCCGTTCGAGAAGGAAATTATCAGGTTTTACATCTCGATATACTATTCCTCGACTATGTACGTGTTCCAAGATATCCACCTAATATTAGGAGATAATCAATGACGATTTAATAAACACCTTGATGTCACTCCACTTAAATCTAATAATTTATATAATTAACTTACCATTTGTACAGCTATTTTGCTAACAAAAGGGACTGGTAGCTTACCATATGCCTGGCGTACCAATCTGATGTTGGGACCAAGCAAATCCATGACTAACGCATTATATAATTGCTCCTGCCCGAACCAATATAATTTCGGTATGAAACCTTGATGTTTAATCAAATCAAATAAATGTAAGTAAATAAATTTCTTTTTAAAAAAAAAAAAAAATAATAATTAAGAAAAAAATAATTTATTACTTGGGCCTGCTAATCTTCTTAAAAATTCGGCTTCCTGTGGCAATTGTGGATGCTCTTCGTCTATAAGCTCTCGTTTAATAGCATATTGCTCATTTGTTTTTATGTGAACGGCTATATATAGTAGTAAAAAAAAAAAAATAGAATGTTTAGAAAGATTTCGTTAATGAGTCACGTGAAATGGAAATATATATTCGCTCAAACGAAAAAAAGTTTCTCGGCCATTTCAAACGTTGCTTTTTTTTTTTGCGCAAATTTGAGTAATAATCATAATAAAAAGTACATTACCTCGAAAGACCTCGCCGAAAGATCCCTCGCCGATTTTTTCTTCGACTAACCAATGTCCACCAACGGTTACTTTACCCATAGTTTTGAAGTGAATAATGTAACGCTTGCGAGAATAGGACAAACCGCAAAGAAGGCGGATATTGGTCTTTCAAATGAAAATCTTTGAGAGCTCGTGTGGGTCTATCGAGCTTTCAGTCAAAGGGATGACAAAAGAAAATAATGAATGAAATTCAAGACTAAGAAAAGGTTGGGTTTTTCTTGTAATGAGAAGACTAATTTATTTGTTTTTAAAGAACTACAACGTTGTAAGTATAAGTGTGGAGTGAAAGAAGCAACTCAAGCACACAGAGAACTTGTGCTCTTGTGTTTTTGAGATTTTTCAGCGCGACAACCGAAGAAGATAAAAAGAAAACACAACACACGGCGTTAATAGAAAGTTTAAGTTTGATATTTTTTTTTTAAGAAAAATATGGAAACTTTTGTGAAAGCTTTGTATGGGAAAAAATTATAAAAGATGGACAGGGCTGAATGAAAGTTAACTATCGAATGTATGCGGGCAGGGGTGATGGCATTCGGTACCAAACCAAAAGAGGTAAGCATCAAGTACGACAATAGTTTCTGCTCTGGGGATCTGAACCATTTTGTTATGATTTTAAAAAGAAAAAGGACGTATGACTTAATTACACCAATCTTTTTCCTGTCACGCGTTTCCAATTCTGTTATAATGGAATAGAAATTTTCTCATAGTAGATCCTTTTACAATGTTTTTTTTTTTAATATAAATTAATAAGATCATCAGTTTAATAGATCAAAAATGGTGAAAATGCTAATCAAATTGTTTCACGTAATTTTTTTCGTACTACTAATTGGATTTTTTAACAATTTTAATTATTTTGTACAACTTGAATTTTAATTGGACTCCAAGGTTATAAGCATAATTATCAATGCATCTCAAAATTGAAAATTTCAGAAATTTCGAAAATTTTAATAAAGGTTCCTTTGTTGAGTTTTAGAAATTGATCTCAGCTGAATGACACGCTTTTTCCTTTATTGGAAAAAAAAATATATATTCATACTTTCAATTTGGAAAAACAAAAATCCTCATGGAAAACAATGGAATAACCGGATATATAAAGGACCTTTTATGATTTCAGGTTTATCAGATTTTTAAAATGTTCCCCCCATTTTTGTATATAACATCCGACCAATATTTATTTGATTGTTTGACTGTTGTTTTCGAACTGCAGACGGAAAGATCTTTCAAATAAAAAAAAATTGAAAATCAGGTTCACAACAGCGGGGTACATTTGTGATTGTTAATATTTGCATAAAATTTATTTTTTTATTTTAGAAAAAATTATTTTAATAGTTATTTTATTTTTTTTTTCATGAAACAATAAGATTCTTTATTCGATGTTTCAATTAATTCTGATTTACATTAACTTGTTGATTACGCAATTGAACCATTTTTTAAAAATAATTAATTAACGTTTAAAAATAAATATAATCAAATACGTAATTCTAATTTTATCTAATGTTTACTATTTTTAATATTTTTAATATCGTAAATCAAAAATTATTAGATCATTATTAGATCGGATTCTTATTAGTTTTTTTCAAATATTATTGGACGATAAATGGATCAAAATTTTTCTAGGTTCGTTTCTATTTTTAGATGAATTTTTTTTTGTTCTTTTTGAGGCAGGTCATGTCTTTATTCACACATAGTTTGAAGAATTTTCACACACATAATAATAACCTTTACAACCTAAAGTTCTATTTAAAGTCGCAACACCTTATTGTAAAAATGAGTCGTAATTTTGCGACCCAAATTCAATCACCAAAGGTTCGCTTTTTGATAAATTCAATAGAGATACATGATATATTATAGAATCTTTTAATGTATATTTTACTATTTTAAATAAATATCAAAGAAATAAAATTTCTTTAATGTGTGTGTATATAAATATTATCTAGCTCAAAGACTCTTCGTTGTTACGTCAAAGTGCTTTTATAAATAATGAATGGGTAAAAGCAAAGTCTGGACAAACTTTCTCGGTGATAGGTAGGATCTCGGAATTTTGTTAAATTTTGTTAAATAAGATCATTTGTTAAGATCAATTTATTTGTTATTGTGTAAGATCCCGCAACTGAGAATGAGATTGGTAAAGTTCCCGAGATGAACGTCGAAGATACCAAAGAAGCTATCATGATAGCAAGCAAAGCTTTTAATGAATGGGCGAATTTAACCCCAAAGGTTTCTATCTAATCTTTCTCACTACCATCATTATATTCATTGATGGTCATGATGTCATGATTTTTTTTCCTATTTAGAATCGACATGATTACCTTTTAAAATTACATTCCCAAATCTTGGAAAATCAAAACGATCTCGCCACTATCCTTACTCTTGAGAATGGTAAAACATACGCTGAAGCTTTAAATGAAATCAGATATGGGGCAAGTTTTGTTGAATGGTTTGCACAAGAATCTAGGCGCGTTTATGGTGATATAATACCATCAAGTTTAAAAAATCATAAATTTGTGGTAGAAAAGCAACCAATTGGAGTTGTTGGAATAATTACTCCTTGGAATTTTCCAAATGCCATGATTACGCGTAAAGTAAGCGCCGCGTTAGCGGCTGGATGCACCGTTGTGATAAAACCTGGAGCAGAAACACCATATTCAGCTTTAGCTTTTGCTGAATTGGCCATAAGAGCGGGATTTCCGAAAGGGGTTATTAATGTCGTGACAACTGATAAATACGTTAAAGAAATCGGGTTAGAAATTTGTACCAATCCAGTGGTGAAAAAGATTTCCTTTACTGGCTCGGTATTAATTAATATAATTGATGTTTTTCAAAATAAAAAGTTTTTTTATTTAATTCGAATATTTTTTCATTAAATACTTTTTATTTCTTTCATTTTTCATTAGACAGCAGTCGGTAAACTTTTGATGGAACAATGTTCTAGTACATTAAAGAAAGTTTCTTTGGAATTAGGAGGGAACGCACCATTTATCGTATTTGATGATGCTGATATAGATTCAGCTGTTGAAGGTTTGGTTTGCTAATTAACATCATGATTTTTTGATATACAAGCTTTTGACATGTAAATGTAATTAATCTTATTTTCAGGTGCAATTGCTTGCAAATTCCGTTCATCTGGTCAAACATGCATTTGTCCAAATCGTATTTACGTACAATCTTCAATTTATGCTGAATTTGCATCTAGACTGGCGGATAAAGTTAGTGGGTTCAAAGTAGGAAATGGATTTGATACAAACACAACTCATGGTCCTTTAATCAATCAAAATGCGATAAAGAAGGTAACAAGACATGTTGAAGATGCTGTGGCAAAAGGTGCTGAAATCCTCGTAGGAGGTACAAAACATACAGGAAACTTCTTTTATCCTACAGTTCTTACCGGCATGAATAAAGAAATGGTCATTACCTCTGAGGAAACTTTCGGTCCCGTGGCTGCATTATATAAATTTGAAACAGAATCGGAAGTCATTAATCTGGCCAATGATAGTAATTCTGGTTTGGCGGGATATTTTTATAGCAAAGATATTGGAAGATGTTGGCGTGTGGCCGATGCTCTAGAAGTTGGTATGGTTGCTGTAAATACCGCAATTATCGGTACTTGCGAATCTCCATTTGGTGGTGTAAGTAAAACCATTTTGCTTTTTTTTTTTTTTTAATATTAATTAAAATTTTCTCTCTAATTTCTTGTCATTCATTTTTTGATAATAATACAGATTAAAGAATCAGGAATAGGTCGTGAAGGTTAGAAATTTTCGCGTGAATTGTCTGTCAGTCATATTTATGAGTTCAACAATGTATTCAATTGTTAACTTTTACATTCTCTCAATTAATATAATAGGTTCCAAATACGGTATCGAGGAGTTCATCAATATTAAATATATTAATTTTGGTGGATTACAAAAAAACTCGACGAATCATTTTAAACTTTAGATTTCTCTCGCAGTTATAGTCCTTCATTAAAATGATTTATAATTGTTTTGAGATCTTTAATCCAATACCTTCACATTCAATCAAGTATAAATTACCATCTTCTGATTTATCACCTTGTACATTTGATTCAAAAGAATCAAGTTTTTTAATACAAAATTTCACACCCGACATAACTTCAACAAAATGAATAGCTGCACGAGTATGCGAAGTTATAGGACCCGAAACTAAATTTGATTTGCCTTCAGCTAATGCCATGAACATTATTAGTTGATCTTGTAGATATCTAATTATATAAAATAGTATTAAGTATTTTAACCTTTATAACACATACATCAACTTTGACCAACTTACTCATCAACGCATCCTCCATGTTTAATATTTCGTATCAATTCCTCTGCTGCGCGTCGCCCTATTTCTTCAGGTGATCGTTCTAATATATTAAAGATTATCTTAGTGAAGATTTTTCTCTCGCTATTTTTAAAATTGATCATCGTGATCTATACTTTTATCACTTAGAGCGTGTCCACTAATTAAGCATCCAGAACTTGTTTCTGCCCATAATCTAAGATAAACGAAATAACATGCGTTAATAAATCATCCAACATGTTAAATATAATAAAGCCCAGAAAGGGTTAATCTTTTTTATCTTACAAAATATCAGAACCTTTACAAGTATTATATCTTTCAGTATTAATTTCTATATCGAATTGAATACTTTCGAGTTCAAATAAAGCTGCTTCTGTTAATATTTTAGTCGCGCTTTCAACTATCTGCTTTCCAAACTAATAATAATCATTTAAATCATTTATGTAAAATGTCATTGAAACAATAATAATAATAATAATAATAAAAATAAAACAAAATACCTTGTTAGACATATTTGAAATGTTGACGCGTCTTATAAATTAATATAAATGAAAGTTAGAAAGAATTAAAAATAACACCATGATAATATATCATTACCCTCTGACTTTAACGATTTTTCCTCGCTCCACTAAATTTGATGGTTTTAGAGATTTTTCAACAATTGGATCAACTCGTAACTCAACTTCTCCTCCACCTCTAGGATAATATCTGTAAATATAAATTTTTTGTTAAATTTTATTTGATTGAATCAATAATGTTAATGATAAAACAAATCAACCATACCCCCTTCTTATTATGCTAACATCAAAATTCAATCCAAATTCGCGTTCTACTATAGGTTTGAAAATCTTTAGGATTTGAATATCAATTAATATTTAATAATCTAGTTTACACGACTTATAAGTATTAAAAAAAAAAAACGAATTTACTTCTGTTAAAAAATCAATTGGTGGAGCAGCATTAACAGCTGAACCGCCTTTCAAAATAACTTTTTTAGATCTTGGCGGAAGAAATAATTTTGACTTTGGCGGTGGGGCTGAAAATAACAAGGGCGGTAGAGAAATTTGAATCAATAAAGTAATACTCCTAAAATATTACATACAAATTTGAAATTAATTTAAATATAATCAAAGTTAAATATAAAGAGATCAATCTAATTACCCCGCAGTTTGAGTATCAGCAATGAAAGTATTAATACTATTATTCACTTCATTTGGTTTAAAGTAAATTTCTTTAGATCCTATCTAAAATATGAAAAGGATGATTGATTGATTATCATACAAGAATTCACGTAGAGATTTTGATACTTGCAATTCCTCCCTGTAAATCTGCTTGAAAAATATTTTGCACGAGTTTAAGTCCAGAAACATGTTGGGGTTTTAAACCTAATTATCGGTAATATAGGGTTTAATAACACACCATTTAACAGTCAATGTTTCAATACTAACCGGGATCTTCGCGTTTAGCTCTAACATTTAATAATTTTATCGGTTTATGTAATAGACAACTAAAATAAAATAAAATAAAATAAATAAAAAATTTAAACATTATAGATATAATAGGTGTTCATTACAATTATTACCTTAAACCAATACAAATTCGAATAACTGAAAATATATTCAATAAGTATTCAAATATAAACTTTACAAGGACAACTTGTTCTTTACAATTAAATTAATTACCTTGTCCACCACCTTCAAACAGACTTGCGTCAAGTGGTAAGGTTTCGGTTTGAAAAGCTGCTGTTGACATTTTGTCATTTCTGGGATATTGTTTTTTACCACCTATTTATAGAAAAAATTTCTTGGTACCGGCCCTGTCATATGAAAATATGAAATCTTCTTGTTACTTCGAGCTTTTTTTTGACAAGAAAAAAAAATAAGAATTCTAATTTGACTTATGAAAGTAAATTGTATGATACGAAGAAGAGATTGGATAATGTTGAAAAATCAATTGGAAAAAGTTAGATAATTGAGAAGCAAGAATTATTTGAAATTGGAAATGAAGAAGGAAAGAAATTGCATATGAAATATTTAGAAGGATAAAGGTTTAATTTGTTAAAATACAGGGATGCTTTGACTGAACAGCTCTTTTTAAAAATTGTTATTTGAGAAATGAACAAAAAAAAAAATACATTTTATTATGTTAATATTTGTATATTTATGAATTATATTCTGTTTGCAATATCTCTTTATTGTAGTTTTAGGGGGAGTTGACGAGAGAGCGTTAAAAAGATCTTAAGCGGTATTATGAATGCTTTGGAACGATATATGAAACGAGCGAGGTTCTCGTCAGAAAACTCATTCTCAAGTAAATTTAATTGTTATTCTTTCCCTATTGAATTTTGTTTACTAGAAGCATTTTATTTTTTTTAGTAACACTGATATCGGAAAACAAGTTAAACAGTATGGGAATCAAATTGATTTTCGCTAGTAGAAGCGTTCCTTCCACAACGGATTCGAAATGGAAAATTTTCGGAATTTACCATCTGAAGACGATGAAGAGGAAGTATATCAAGAACTTTTTATTAACGAATGATCTGCGCTTCCTGGTTCAATGATTAATGTTCATGATACATCTCGATTTCCACAAGAAAACCAGACTGTGTTGGAATTGCTATATACCGTGCCATTGATCTACTAACGTTTTTTTTTTGTGATGGAAATTACTAAACATACAAATAATGCAGGATTCAGTAATAATAATTTGCAAAGTACTAGAGATACAACATCGTCGAAGATTTGTTTATGCGATCTTGACAGACTATTATAATATACAATTCTTTAAGGTGAAACGCCAGAAAGAGAATAATTTGCATTTTATTTATACTTATACCACAAGTGAATCCCTTTATTTTGAGATTGAAGAACCTCCTCTTTGGCAACGGTTAGTCTCGTTTCTTTGCCAAATACCTTCAGAATTGGGATGGCTTGAATCAGAATTAAAAATTGATGACGTTCGAATCCGTTTAGAACGGTATCTTGGAGTTAGAAGAACTGGAGTTGTATATGAAGGACTTTACGATGATGAGCCTGTTGCTGTAAAGGTATTTAAGCAAGATTATAAACATCATCTTTAATCAAGAAATTACTGCGTTGAAGTCATTTACCGATCTGAAATGTAAAAATCACCTACCGTCACTTGACATCGTATCGTCTTAACACCAGTTTGTGAGAAAATCAATCATTGGCGGAAGACTGATATCAAGAATGTTATTTTAACTCTTAAAGAAGTACACCAAACTGGAATCTTCATAGGGATTTACGCATATATAATATTATGAGAGATTTAGATATGGTACAAGAACGATGAGCATCAACCCTTCATGTTGGCCTAGATTGTGATGCAGATATGTTTTGAAAGTTATAAAAAACAGCAGCCTTTAAGATATCAAACTCAATTTGATTTAATAAGTTTTGTTAGGACATTTTATATGAAATTGCATAGGAACGATGGGATTGCAAAGTTAGATTTTGGTCAAGAAGAGAACAATCATAGGAGAAAACACATGTAGATAGAGTTTGTTATTGAATTTTGGCAGGAGCGATGTTGTAATTGTCCTAAGCCTGTCCCCCACGTGATCTAGCAAATAAGTATTGTATTATGGTTGATCAACTATTTGTGTTACGAAAAAAAATAATAAAGAAAATGGTTTCAATTGAAATATCACTTGTGAAAATTTTGGTTTCGGCAAATACTAACAGTTTTTTATTCAGCAGAAATAAAACATTATTAACTTCTTAATAACTAATTGAAACTCACTAATAAACCCCGTAGTTCATTTATTGAGATTGAGATGTGTTAATTTTATCCAACTTAGAATTAATTTCTTTAATTCCCGCCTTAATCTCCGATATTTCCGGACTAATTAATCGAGATGTCTCCAATTATTTACAGTCCAATAAGCCATAATGATATGGATCATTAACTTTACCACGTATACCTAGATATTTGTACACCATTTTTCTGACAACATCAAGCTTGAGACATAGGTGCAAGTGTCCGTGACAATCTACTGCATTTTTGTCCTTGGCGAGTTCCGATTCCCAAGTCCCAAAGTTCATTGCAAAAGAATTCAATGGATATCCTCTGGAACAAAAAGCACCTAGAAAGTTTTTCACTAAATTGTCTAATACCCACGCCCAAAATTCTTCTGATTTGATTAGATCTTTATTTGTCTTATGTTTCGTAGGAAAAACGAGTAGCTCTCGGACATGTTCTAGCCTTGAAATTACGATCCATTCGTCTGTTTGCTTTAAACTATAATCTCCTAATGGCATTTTTAGACGCTCGTCAAATGGTATTATCCTTTCTTGTTCGGCATACCAATTACATGAACGGCTTTGTCGTCTTTGTTGCGGTGATTCGGCTTGGCAATAAATTTTTGGAGTTTCAATAAACCAAGGACAACTTTTATTAATTGTAATAGAGTTTCTATTAGTCTCCGCATTAGCATTTAATATTTGCATAATATCAATAAAGTACTCACATCTAACACATTCTCCATGATGATTACAGTAGGATTTAGAAAGAATAGGATCATATATAAAGTTCTCAGGGCGCGATGGGTAATAAGTTTCTCTTACATTATTGACACATTCTCGTGCTTTCTTTATCACTGATCCTCTCGTTTCATTTGGGCGCGACATAAGAGCATCGAACCAGGCCACAGGATCTAGATGCAGATATAATTTCCAAAGTCCTTCTTCAGGGGACAACTCGATCCTATATTTCTCCTGAAACACAGGGTTACTTTTAATAAAGTCTAAACACTTCTCTCCCATAAAAGACACACGTTTTGCTGCAATTTTTGGCTCATCTTGAAAGTTTTCTATCGTTCCGACGTGAATTCTTGGTTTATTATCCCATATAAATTCTTCTATTTGAAAACCACCATCTTCCCTTAAATTCTCTAAACCAATAAAGGAATTACGCGACATTTGCTGTATTTGTGAACTAAAAAGTCATTTTCAAATGTGAAAAAATGTCAAGCCACTCGCTTTAAAACCTATGTAATATTTACATCATAGCATCATGACGGAACTACAGAATGTGATTGTGGAACCAAAAGCATAATGGACATTCGTTATATCACGTGGTGATAAAATCAAATGTCGATCTTTTTTATATCGTGTAACGTTCGATTTCAATTGATTCCGCTTTAACAAATCCACGTAAATTTGACAAATGTGAAAGTGCTGTTTTAATTTCTAAATTCGAAAAAAATCCCGAAGATGGTAATATATGCGATAAATATCCAAAGGAATCTATTAAATAAAAAACG